GGGCACAGGGTTGTTGAACGAGCTCAGCCGAACCAAACTCGGCGGAGCCTCGGAAAGTGATCTGACTTTGGTTAGTCGGAACCGAGTGGAAGCGAGCCACTCGTCTGTCCCGGAAGGGCCGGACCGCGAGGGACCCACCCTCTGCGCAGGCCATACAACCGCCGACCTAACTCGGCGATTCGTTGTGGTTTGTGTAAGGAATCCACATCTGACGATATTTGTGTGTTCTACTACACCACAACTGGTGCCGCGACCCGGGAACAGGAGTGTGTGCTTGTTTTTATAGGTGCCAGCTAACCAAGTTAAGAGGAAGAGAAGAGAAAGAGAAGAGTGAAGATGGTCAAGGGATCAGCAACTCCGAGCGACGGAAGCCCAGCGACGGCTGGAGGATCGCCTCTCGTGGAGTCGGACCCGGCGGATCAACGACTCATCGCCATGACGATGGAGGTGGGACGAACCGTCCAGTTCGACGAGGATGGCCAAGACCAGGAGAGCGAGAACGGAGACGCAAGTGAAGGAGAGTATGAAGAGAAGGCCGAGACCGCTGAGCTCGGAGAAACGAAGACTACCGCCGAGCTACTTGGCGAGGTGGAAGAGTTGACGCTGCAGGTGGGACGCATGGGAGCCCCACGTCCTGTCGAGCGCAATTTATCCGCCGAGCTCGACGAAGGTGCGGACGATGAAGAAGATGAAGAAGACCATGGCGTTGCTCAAGGGGACCGTCCGCCCCTTATTCCAAAAGCGACGAGGAACGCCGATACGCCGAGCGCCAATAAAGTGTTGGCTCGACTCGGCGAGGAGATGAGAACGAGATCGGAATGGATGATGATGTTCGCGCCTGTGGCGATGGCGCAGGCGAAGTGGCCGATGTTGGGTCCCGAGCTAACTCAGCCGGTGCGTGCAGCCAACATCAATCAGTTGGTGGAAGAAACTGTGTTGCTGTTGAAGGCGATGGGCTATCGGTGCAACAGCCGACCAAACAGCCTCATTCTGTCCGACTGGAGTCTGACCCGTGGCGGAGCCGAGCTCTGGCAATGGAAGAAGAAGCTCAGAGTGGCGTTTGGATTGGAGAAGGCCCCTGGCGGAACGAAGAAGGTGTACAGCCGAGTAGCCGAGTTCAAACCACTCGACGAGGACCCGAGCAAGATTCCTTTGCCGAAAACCCCGGAGACGAAGAGACGTGAAGTGTTCCGCGCTACGCAAGGGACTCCGTACTTTGAAGACTCTCACATGCTGACTCCATTAAAGCTAAACCCGACTCAGCGAGCGCCGAGTCGTGGGCAGCGAAATGTAGGTCGTTATCGTGAATTGTATGACGCTGCAGATGAGGCTGAGGCTTACGAGGAGGATGAAGAAGACGGC